TTAAGGTAGTTGGGCATTTCTTCCACTTAAATTATCCGTTGAGACCAGTCTAACGAAATTTAGCGTTTAAGCCAGATTGTTCTTTTCTGGCAATAAAACAGGATATGTGCTGTGCCTCTGCCATCTACTTGTTGGTGGATGGGCTATTGCAGGAGGCAAGGTGCATGTTTCCAAATCTCTCTCTCTTTTTTTCTTTTTTTTTTTTTTTGAACTGGGAGGGCGTCTGTCATGTGCAGTTAAGATGTAGTGCAGAAATCCTAACCTGTTGCTTCTAAAGGAGACAAGGTTGTCTAGAAGATGCTTTATAACCCTTGGAGTGAGGGGAGGGGTCTTAGTCTTGTGTTTAGGGCTGTCACCTTCAATATGGCAGATTGATTCAAGGTTATAAACTGGCAGTACTTACCACTCGTACAAAGTGGAACAACATCCTGGAAGGAGGATGTTTACGTAGGAAGCCTTGGAAGCTGGTACCTGAAAGAGCAATGGTTGAAGCACTCCTAGAACATGTCAGGTCTGTATGTCAGAAGCTGTGTGGACAAGCAGACTGCTCTCACCACAGAGCCCCTGAAGGCTGTCTTCACATCAGTTCAGTAAGATGCTAAAACTAGCGCTGACCCGTGAGCGGGGGTGTGGTGGCAGCAGCCGGCCCTCTCTAACTCGCACCAACTGAACTCCTTCACTACCACCTGTGTGCTAAGTTCAGTGAAGGCAAGCTTCTTTTCTGCTCCAAGGTTGATGGATTTAAGATGAAATACCTGAAAAGTAAAAAGTAATTCTCAAAAGGCAGAACTTTGCCTGTGTTGCTAGCTTTCCTGATTGTGTAGTTTTCTGTCTTATCGCTGTTTTACCACCATCTGTGCTTTTTAAACAATGATATGCAAGTCACTTTCCCAGCAGAATACATGTATCTTGTAGCTGAATCTAAGTAATTCTCTAAACAATTGATCTGAGTCTTAGAAACAACTGCTGCGTTTACTTTTAAGACCTCATTTTGCTTTTTTTCCACTGCAGCAACAAATCAGTATTCAGCAGCCCTTCACTATTATCTACAGGCAGGAGCTGTATGCTCAGATTTCTTTAATAAGATGGTACCACCAGATGTGTACACCGACCAGGTGAGCTAAAATGAGATTTAGATGTACAAAAATGCCTTTTTTGATTCAGTCAGCATCCTAATTCTCTGTAGAGACAAAACTCCTGCCAGTGGCGACGTCTGGCTCCCACTGTGCTTCAGGTGCTAGTATTGCACAGAGGGAGCCTTGCTCGCTTCCACCCATGGCGCAGACAAATATAAGCGTATTGTCTAAACACTCCTAAAATACTGTCTGCTCTAGCGAACACAGATGAGGCGTGGGAGTATGGATCACATCAGCAGCGAGATCCAGACAACACTGGCTCCTTTTCACACACCCACTGGTACTTTTTTCCAGACTCTCACAGTGAGCAGAGCTGCATCGCAGCGCTGTGCAAGGTTGTGCAGAGATGGGTAGGATTGTTAACTTACCGCTGTCAGAGCGTGCTGGAGGTACGGCACCGTACATAGCGTGTACCTGTGTACTTTGCAAGTTGGTGTAACAAGTGGCTTGTCACTTGCAAGCGGGCCATGAGAGAGAACCCCGTAATAACTGTGTGTGTTGGAGGGAATCTTCAGTCTCAGCCACATCATGTTCCAGTGAAATTTTGCAGCCACTTACTTGAACCTTTATCCAGGCATTTGTGTTGTTCATTAGGAAATGACTGTTTCTTGTAGAGTGCGTTTCGGTAGGCAATGGGCTCATCATGACTGTGCGGACCCAGGGAAGGAGGCTAACTTCATACCCTGTCCGATGGCTGCTCCTTTCATGCTCCCGTTCCTATGGCAAGCGAGAGCTTCGCACACCCTCTGGGATCCCGAAGGTTCGCGGCCCAGGCTGCGCAGTGCCTCGTGCCGGGCTGCAGCGGTGCCGGCATGCCAGCCAGGAACCCCG